CCGGTTTTGTTCAACATCTTTATTAATGATCTGGATGATGGGATTAATTGTACCCTCAGCAAGTTCGCAGATGACACCAAGCAGTGTGCCCTTGTTGCCAAGAAGGCCAACAGCATATTGGGATGTATTAGTAGGAGCATTGCCCGCAGATTGAGGGAAGTGATTATTCCCCTCTATTCGGCACTGGTGAGGCCACACCTGGAATATTGCATCCAGTTTTGGTCCCCCGACTACATAAGGGATGTGGACAAATTGGAAAGAGTCCAGCGGAGGGCAACGAAAATGATTAGAAGGCTGGGGCACATGATTTACAAGAAGAGGCTGAGGGAACTGGGGTTATTTAATCTGCAAAAGAGAAGAGTGAGTGGGGATTTGATAGCCGCCTTCAACTACCTGAAGAGGGGTTCCAAAGAGGATGGAGCTAGGCTGTTCTCAGTGGTGGCAGATGACAGAACAGGAAGCAATGGTCTCAAGTTGCAGTGGGGGAGATCTAGGTTGGATATTAGGAAACATTATTTCACTAGGAGGGTGGTGAAGCGTCTGTAATGGGTTACCTAGGGAGGTGGTGGAATCTCCATTCTTAGAGGTTTTTAAGGCCTGGCTTGACAAAGCCCTGGCTGGGATGATTTAGTTGGGGATTGGTCCTGCTTTGAGCAGGGGGTTGGACTAGATGACCTCCTGAGGTCTCTTCCAACCCTAATATTCTATGATTCTATAAACAAGTTCTAATGTCTGGAAGTTGAAGCCAAATGCAGACAAGAAATAAGGTGCAATTGTTTAATACTGAGGGTTATTAACCAGTGGAAAAACTTACTAATTTTTAAATCAAGATTGGATATTTTTGGAAACCATATGAACTAGTTCAGGCAGGAATTAATTCAAGGAAGTTCTATGGCTTGTGTTATAGAGGAGGTGGGACTAGGCAATCACAATTGTCCCTCCTGGCCATGTAATGGATGAATCAATGCAAAGCTTCCCCATGGAGACAAGCCCTGGCCTAAACCTATTTGGAATTCAATGTAGAACTTGCCTGCACAGGAAGTAAATGAAGCATCCTTCTCTGTGAATGACCATAAAGGGGTTTAATGTGCTTTAAATTCACACCTGTAGCCAAGTGGATTTAATTTCCCCTCCAGACAAGCCCTGTGAGTTAATTCAGTGCAATTTCTGTGTGTAGACCAGTTCGCTGCCTGTCTCTGTCTTGTTTAGGGCTGCCGTTTTGGTTAGACTAGTCCAGGAGGTTTACCTCCGGTGTGGAGCTGTTTGTGTCGTTACACCGGCTCTGGTTCGTTTTGTTAGTTGCTGCCACCAGAGGGCCCACTGTTAAAAGAGGAGAAGCTGGACTCGTTTTCTTGCTCTCTGGCTCTGCTGAATTTCCTGGGTCAAGTTGTTGCTGCTGCTTCCTTCCCTTGTTGTGACTGGGAGCCCGGGCTGAGCCGCCGCTGCTCCCCAGCGGGTCTGTGCGGGGAGAGACCTGCACTAACCTCTCTCTGTGCCCAGCCTGGGGGGACTTTCTTCGGGGGCTGCAACCAGCCCCTGGGGCAGCCCCGGGCTCTGCCGACACCAGCCCCTGAGCCGGAGCCTGCAGGTGAGGGGAGAGACCCGGGGGAAAGGGCTGGGGCCGGTGTGAGCTGTTTGCGTCGTTACACCGGGCAGGAAAGTGACTTTGCACCAATGGCCCCTGGGAAGCTGCTCGATGAGAGAAATCCCAGGGAGGGGGGAGTCTTGGGGGGTTTGCATTTTAAAAATCTGGCCCCCTAGACAAGCCAGGAGGAGCCACTTGCGCTTTGCAGGGCTGGGGAAATCTCCCCAGTATTCCAGTGCGGATAGGGATGGGTTTGCTGTGTCAAACGTGTCCGGTCTAAAGTGACTTGGCCTGGTTGGGTTGGTATAAACATTTCCACACCGACCCCCTTCCCTGTAACTAATGGGATAGATCCCTGGGAAGGCTCAGCCGCCCCCCCCCCCCCCACTGCATTTATCATCTGCGCAAAGTGACTCACACGGGCTCCAGATGTCTGTGGGACAAGAGGCTTCTGGGCATTCAGCTGCTGCAGAAATATTTGTGCTTCCAAAATGCGTGTGTTTCTCTGAAGAGCCAAGGCGAGTTAGAGAGAGACAAGCTTTTGGGCTCACCCAGAAGCTCCTCTTCAGGGCAGGGAATGAACTTGGGAGCATCACAGCTAAATACAAGGTGGAACGGATTGTTTCACGTAAGTAGTTAATACCTATACAGATATACACAGAACTACATACGCTAAACATTCTGCTCCATCTAGGGCAGGGGTCTCAAACTCAAATGACTGCAAGGGCCACATGAGGACTAGTGCATTGGCCCAAGGGCTGCATCACTGACATCCCCCCTCGTTGCCCCTGGCCCTGCCCCCACGCCACCCCTAACGTGAGTCCCTGCCCCTGCCCCGTCTCTTCTCCACCTCCTCCTCCAAGCAGTTTTAATAATATATATACACTCAGTAAAGTCCCTCCACTGCACTGGGCTACACCACCACTCCACCCCTGATCTGCCTCTTCCAGGGGTGGCAGGTTTGTAGAAATTTTGGTGGTGCCCAAAACCTGCCCCCCCCCCAAACTCCACCCCGACCTGCCTAAGGCTCTGGGAGGGAGTTTGGATGGGGGAGGGGGTCTGGGGTGCAAACTCTGGGATGGAGTTTGGGTGCTGGGTGCAGGCTCCGGGCTGGGGCAGGGAGTGGGGGTGCAGGCTCTGGGATGGAGTTTTGGGATAGGAAGGGGTGCAGGGGTGAGGGCTGTGGGGCTGGGATGAGGGGTTTGGGGCATTGGAGAGACTCAGGACTAGGGCAGGGGAAGGGCAGCCTGCCCTGAGGCTAGTGGATGGGTGGCATTAGGACCCTGCGGCAGCAAGTGATGCCAGAAGCCGGCAGAGCAGTGAGCAGAAGCTGCAGGCTCAGGGGCAGTGAAGGGGCAGCAAGTGAGGCCGGGGACACTCGGGGGAGGTGCGTGGGGGCGGCAGGTGGGGCCGGTAACATTGGGGAGCAGCGAGCAGGGAGCTTAGCTGACACATAAAATAATTCGGGGGTAAGGGGAGTTTGATGGTGACAGGAAGTAACTGGCGGGGGGGCGGCGCAGGGAGCTTGGCGGGCCGCATGTTTGAGACCCCTGATCTAGGGTGACCAGAGCTCCTGATTTTATAGAGATAGTCCCGATATTTGGGGCTTTGCTTATCTAGGCGCCTATTACCCCAACCCCCCGTCCCGTCCCGATTTGTCACCCTTGCTATCTGATCACCTAGCTCCATCTTGTATTTAGCTGTGACACTCTGAGTAAGTTTCCCAGACCCAGAGCAGAGCTCTGGGTGAGCCCAGAAAGCTTGTCTCTCTCTCCAACAGAAGTTGATCCAATAAAAGATATTCCCTCCCCCACCTTGCCTCTCTAGTATCCTGGGACTGACATGGCTACAACACCACTGTTTCTTTAACTGGGTCTCTATTTGATGCTTTCATGACATGTGATCTTTTAAAAAAAATCTTTTTCTGGGAAGAGAGAGGGCTTTCAGATTTCATCCAAACGGGTGATAATGTGAGCGCATCACCCTTCCCAACAGCATTTTATTAGCGTGAATAAATAGTTCTAATCAAGCCTTATCGTCCCTTTCTCAAACATGCCACTTGGCCAAATCTTGCTGCTTTCAGTTGCAGAGCTATAGCTTAGACGAGCCATTTTATTTTTAGTTGTAACTTATAAAAGAGGAGGAAAGTGTTGTGTTTTGGAACTTTAATGATCACTAGAAGAGATCTGGAATGTTTTGGGGCATGGGAGTGGGGTGGATGCATATACATGTCAGTCTTAATGTACTTTAAATTGCCTAAAAGATTGTACAGACAACTGTAGAACCAGTAGTCTTGTAACATGCAAGCGAGATAATAAATGAAATCTGATTGAGTATACTTAGCACCCCACCCTCATGATATCTTAGTGACTTGACTGAAAGCGGAAGCGATTTTGATTTTATTTAGGAAAGTTGAAACAGTTTTCAAATCAGTTTAACCCCAAGCACTCCATCAGACAGACCTATTTTCCACCCTGATTCAACAACACTCTTCTCTACAATAAGAAGCTGGGGAAGTTCCTGATATACCTGGACATCATGCAGCCAGCCCCAGTATACCTGGGCATCATTCAGCCAGCTGCCCAGCAAAAACAGGAGAGAGGAGACACACCGACACTTCTAGAGTTAAAAACAAGCAGATTTGGCTTGGGTTCGTGTGTGTGTGTACGTGTACCTAAGGAGGAGAGATCCCATCAGGCCTTGCCTGTGTACCCTATAGAAGCACAATAGGGCGGACAGTTCTTACCTATGTGGGGATCAAATATTTAATAATGGACTCTTCAGTCTAGCAGAGAAAGATATAAGATGATCCAATGGCTGAAAGTTGAAGCTAGACAAATTTAGACTGGAAAGGAGGTGTATATTTTTAACAGTAAGACTAGTTAATCATTGGCGCAACCATCGGTGATGGTGGATTCTCCGTCACTGACCCTTTTTAAATCCAGACTGGGTGTTTTATCTAAAAGCTCTGCTCTAGGAGTTATTTTGGAGGAAGTTCTCTGGCCTGTGTTACACTGGAGGTCAGACTAGATGATCCCTTCTGGCCTTGGAATTTGACTCTGATAAGAGGGACTGTTCATTGAAACATAACAAATTAAGGCCTCATAACTTGTGAAGCTAATTGAGACAAGTTTCCCTCTTTGCTCAAAAGAGAAGAGGCTGATCTGATGTGAGAAATACGTGCCACAAAATTGCTATTGGATGAATGAGGACGATTGGAGGATGCAATTTCTGTAAGATTTCCCTTTCATCCTTCAAAAGCTGCCTCCCCATCTGTCCCTTGCCTTTGTCCAAGGCTGGCAGTTTCTCAAGGCTAAAAAAGAAGAAATTGCTGCAAAGTGCTCACAGGCCGGAATTCACGCCTTCCTTGGCGTGGTGTTTTGAAAGAGAAGCAAAAATCGATGGGCATAATGGCAATGTTTCCAGCTGGGTTTAAAATCTGAGTTGGGGGTGGGGAGGAGATGGGAAGGAGCAATAAATGGGGAGGGAGACTCCAGGCTCCCAAACCTGCCCAGCTCCATTCGCTGCAGCACCCCCTGGGCAGACTGACTTTCCTGGGGACAAGGAGAGAGGAAAAAGCAGTTCCTGCCTCTGCCTGTGCCCCCTGCCTGCTGAGGGAACATGGTGCCCTCAGGGGAATCCTGAGTCCAAAACAAGCATCTCCTTTGATTCGGCTCATTTCTAGCATTTGGTTCACAGACTCAGATACTGGGAGGTTTAAAGATGTCTCAGTCCTGGTAGGAGGGGCCATGTCTGTGGTGTAATAAAGTGACTATGGACTTTCCCAGCATTGCAGAGTCAGAACCTCTCTGTGCAGGAGACAAACGTGGGGGGAGTCAAGGTGTGAAGTGGACTAAAACCCCCTCTGATGCCTCCCCAATCACCTCTCTCCCTGGCAGGCTGCAGAATAACATCCGTCCAGTCTGGCCACGTCATCCCAGAAGCGAAATGGCTTTAGCACAGCATATTCAGGTAGGAGATTTTCAGGGAGCTGCTGCAGGGTTTGCGCTGGACAGGGAGGGAGCAGGTCATACACAGGAGGAGGGAGTGGGAGGTGGGGAGAGACTGTAACAAACCTGCTGGGACTCTAGAGAACAGGGGAAATTCCCCCATCTGTGGACCAAGAATCAAGCCGCGTGTCCAGGCACTGAAAAACGTATCGGACTCCTGCTAGCCACAGCCCTAAGCTTCCTAGCCAGAGGTTAATACAAAGAGGAAAGGGGCCAACCAACCCTTCTTCCCATGATAGCTGCTGGCATTCCTCCTGGGAAGCTGTCCACGGACCGTACTCATGGGCTCCATTTCCAGGATCTGTCTCTTATCTAGTAGCCGCACGATGAGGTCTGAAGCAGTCTGCATGGGGATCTCTGCTATCTGATCCCTTTCTGAACTTCCAGTTCTGGGGCGTTTCTCCTACCCCGCTCCAATGAATAACTCCCATGCAGCTTCTGCTATTGCTCCGAGTTTCACAGTGGGCAGCAGCAACAGCAGAGAGTTTCTGATGCATTTCTCAAATGCCCACAGAGCTCTGAAGGGCAGCCTGGAATTGGCCAGCAGAGATTACTCCGGAGCTGCCTGTCGGCAGATTGGGAAAAGCAGCGCAGCAGCGTGTGGGGGCCCAGGCCGAATCATTTCTTATCTTCCAGATTGGTTGGGAAGAGCATTCGTTTTCATGATATCCTGGCTCTCTGAAGCCCCGTTGCAGTGCCAGACATTCCCATGTATGCCACGGTGGCTTGTGTGGGTCTTTGAGCAAGGTTTTAATTCTATTTTCTTATCAATCTCTTGCTACCTGTGTGTGTCTGTGTGGTGGGCCTGGTAAACTCCCATACCACACACACATATCTGCCGCTTGAGCTAAAGTAACTCCATTAGCTTGTGAGGGCAGTAGCCTATTGCATTTTTGAGGGCCAGCTGCCAGAGGGGTGTATCTAATATATTGGCCCAGTGGGTTGCAATTAGCAGGCACAAATAGAAATCTGATCTATTGGACCAGTAGCGGGCACAGACAGCAATTCAAATGATGCTAGTGAGTTTCTCAGGCTCTGCAGAACAGCTCTGAAACTAAGGACGTTCTCTTTAGCTTTCTGCTGCTACCAGGGAAGCTCTGAGCAGTGCAGAGGGGCCAAAGCCGCTGTCTCATGGGCGGAAACATGGCAGCATCTGACGCCCCCTTCATAATCCTCATCTCAGCCGGACAGGCTGGGAGCTTCGTTTTCCTCTGAAATGAGAGCTTTAATTCTGCAGCAGCACCTCCCTCTTGGCAAGGAAAGGGCTCTGCTCTCTGGGGCCGAGGGGGATTTTTCCAGCTCTGCCTGTGACTGAGCTGATGGGACACTGGCTGGGGCAGCAGGTTGTGAGCAGGGGACTCTTGTTCATGCAGATGCCCATGACCTTTGAGGACGTGGCTGTGTATTTCACCAAGGAGGAATGGGCGCTGTTGGACCTGGGTCAGCGAGCCCTCTACAGAGACGTCATGCAGGAGAACTATGAGAACGTGACTTCACTGGGTAAGGATTCCTGTCTCCTAGGCATGTTGAAATTTGAACTTTGCATCGCCTGAATTGACCTCTGCTCACAGTTCTTCCCGGTCCCTTAGATTTCAGTGGGATCAGCCCCATAGCTCCCTTTCTACCTGGACTTCACATTCTCTAGGGCAGGACTGTGTTTGTCTGTGCAGTGCCTAGCACCAAGGGGCCCTGGAGGTCTCTAGGTACTACAGCAATCCAAGTTATTAATAACAGAAGATTTAATGGCTTATAATTACGGTGCACACTAACTCCCCAGCCATCTGTGCACCTTGGCAGATTTTAATACTCTGTCTGACTCACCGGGTTCCCTACCTACTCCAGCGTGCTTCCTTGACCTCTTCTTACCCCGGAACTGCTGCATTCAGTGACATCACTGCGCAGTACCGGGTTTACCATGGCGCCAGTAGCACTATTGCACCAGGCCCAGAGTCAGCCTGATCCCCTGGCCGGTTGAGCCGGCCAGGAAAGCTGCCCCTGTTCTGCCCCGCCTCTTCCCCAAAGCCCCCGCCCCTGCTCTGCCCCCACCCTGCCTCTTCTGACCCCTGCTCCGCCCCAGCCCCACCCCTGCTCCACCCCCGCCCTGCCTCTTCCCACCCTTCCCCTGAGCAACGTCCCAGGGGACTGTAGAAGGGGTTGGGCCCGCCCTGCACTCATGGGGCAGCAGGAAGTGGAGCGACCC